AAATAGCACCTCACCAATGCCTCTATTCCATCTTCTTCCGTTGCTGCACCCATTCCAAAGAATTCACGGTTCCAGCATTCTGCAACAGGATGGAGCTACCAATACCACATTCAAATATCATTACAAAATATAAATACATAGAACTGTGAGGTATTACATATATTATGTAATAAATAAAACGGTGAGATGGACATTTTTTTTATAGGGTGATGATATATAAATTCTTTATTTTCTATTTAATACTTATTCAATACTCATCAAATAATATTTTTATTTTGAAATATAAAATAATTTAGAATAAATCAACTAAAAAGGTAAAAAAATTATTTTTTATTAAGTGTTAAATAAGGATAAAAAAATTGAGAAGGGATACATAAAAAATTTCCTTTTCTATATAGGTTTTTTTTAGTATAATCCGTTTACAGATATCAAACTTCACGTTAGTTTGACCCATTATCTATAATTTTTTTATTTTAAATATTGTTAAGTAGGATTGTTTGTGTATAGAATATAACTAATGTTTTTACTTATTATTTTAATAACATATATTATTAATAAATTTAAATTTTATTTTATATTCTATTTTAATATGTTTTTGTAATAGACTTCCTTATTATTTATGGTAAATAAGAAAGTACTAATCTTTATCTCTCTTTTTTTAACTTTTATATATAAGTGTAGTAAATCTTTAGTTTTTATAAGATTCAAATTTAAGATGATAAAAAGTATATATTAAGAATTTTTTTAGGTTTTTTCTAATTTGTAAAGGTTGGCTCTCAAGCTTGCAGGCTTGTAGTTATGCAAGGAAGATCAAATAAAATAACCCAAAAATCCTATTTGTTAAAGTCTCTCTCAGTCAGTTTGTTTTTGGTTTAACAAATGTGGAGTATGTTGTGAATGTATTTCTAACTTAAAATTATAAAATCGGTTTATCCAAGTCATATATGTATCAACTTAGTACCTGCACTTGTCCTGCTGTTTTCCACATGTTTTCCATGACAAACACGACATTATAATTTTGGCAAATATTGATACGTTACCTTTCCTGGTCTATGTCTGTCTATACAAGAGAAACAAATTTCTTATATATATTGGAAAATTTGTTTATTCACTACTTTTTCCTTTCCATTTTTCAAAATGGTCTTAGTGTGTTTGGTTTGGCCAATTGTCGTGGTAATCAATCACAACAGTGTTGTGATAATATATGATTATGGAAAATGTCTCCTTGTTTTTCTTTGAAAATCTGTACTTTGTCCTCTCTAAACAAAATAAAAGGCTTAAATTCTTTTTTTGTCTATATTTTTATCGACTTTATTTAATGTGGGACTCATTTTTTTAGATGCTCAAATGTAATGACACTTTTGGTAATTTATGATCAATATGTGCGTGGAAAGATACAGGTGTGGTTTACGTTTTGGACGAAAATGGCGATAGCTGACAATATGTGGTGGAGGTACGTGGTGGCTGATAGTGGTAACTAAGGTTTATGATGTATTGAGAGGTTGAAGATAATGACTGATAGTATAAACACTATACTCGGCGGATCACCTGAGAAAAAATTGAATAACTCGTTGAACTACTGCCAACGTATACAATCTCTCGTTAAGAATTTAGGTGACATCATAAAAAATTAATAAACTGAATATAAATTATATAAATTAGAACCACGTTGAACATCCATAAAATAATGAGTCCTATATTAAAAAAATCGACAAAAAAAATAGAAAAAAATTTATACCTAAATAAAAATACGACTTTAGTCTTATCAATTTTTTTAACATGGATTAATTTTGTTTAGGAATTTATTTTTTTCTAGAGTATTTAAAAAAATACCTACTTTTTATCTAAAATTTGTGTTTGACTTTCCACATATATATTTTTTCATATACTATTTTGATACAGAAAATATGATGTTTTGAGGTTATAAAACAATACTTATTTTAAATACACATTACATAAAAAAGAAAATAGTTATTTTAAATAAGATGTTTCGGAATATAGTTTTTGTAGTTTTTTAAATGTATTGTAGAATAGAGTTTTTGAACTAGCTCTTAAAGTAGTATTTAAAATGGAAAACAAATTTCAAAACATATTTATATTTATTGAAAATGTTTTATAATACATGCTTTTTTTTGTAATTATTTTAAAATGTATATTAAATCAAATTTCTTCTGAAAGTAATGTGTCGAAAAGAACTACATTTTGTATACCTGATACGCGGGAGGCCCCGGGAGCCAAGCACTCAAGATTCATCAAGGTCCCGTTAAACTCGAGGAATGGTAAAAAAGTTCTAACAGAAGATCCTCTCCAGAAGAAGGTCAGTTCCTCTTTGATGCTTTGAGTGGAACCAGAATATACCCAGATGATCCAAGCCATGGACAAGCCAAGCACAATGGAAAGGATATATAGACAAAATTAAGAAGATAAGAATAAAGAAGGGTGGGTCCTCATCGACAAACCCTCTTGCTCTAGTACATGCAACACCTCCTCCACAGCTTATTCATTCCACACCACTTCTACGATTTATAGTGTTTGTTTCCGAAACATCTTCAACTCGTCACAACACCTTGCCACGTGGCTGAAGATCTGTATTTTCTTTTTTAATCTCACCGTACAAAAGCAATGAGAATCACCTCTAATTCCTTTTCTTACAGCTTGTATAAACACTTTTCTAAGGCTTCGTACTCTAATTTGACCATCCTGTCCAATTTCCATCCCCGCCCTTTTCTCCTTCTGAACGTCCCTCTCCCTGTTCTTCCCTCCCCCTAATCCCCTCTAAGCTTTCTTCTTTTGTGGAGTTCGTGTGAGCTAGAACCCTCTCCAAATAGCACCTCACCCATGCCTCTATTCCATCTTCTTCCGTTGCTGCACCCATTCCAAAGAATTCACGGTTCCATTATTCTGTATCAGGATTGAGCTATCATGTGGTATTCAGACCTACGGTTGCTCCACGGCACGCTCCAGATGAGTCCAGTTTCTTTCATTCTATATTGTCTTCACTATTCCATTCGTGTCTTGCATGTTCTGTGCACACTGTTTCATTGAGTTTTTCCTAATTTCCGTAGATTTCAATTGAGTATTTCTATTGTTTCAGCTTTGCTTTGTTTTATTTTCATCATTTTAATCGGTCTACTCCATTGTTTGAGTCTTTTGTTTTGCAATCTTATTTTGTTATGTCTAGTCTTGTGTATCTCGTTTAATTTTGTCAAAATTCTGAGTTCAATTTTGTGCCAGATAAATTGTTAGTTGGATTGGATTGTCAAAGAAAGCAAATCAGATAGGCAATGACTAAAGAGCTCTAGTGCATCTTCTTGCATTTTCATTCACCATAATTAGTGCCATTTGTTTGGCAACTATTTGATTCTATTTTTGAAAATTCTGGTTTAAAAAATAAACAGAAATAAAACAAAACAAACAAAAAAAACACCAAAAACGCATAAAAAAAACCCCCCCCCCCCCAAAAAAACCCCCCCACCCCCCCCTCCCCCCCAAAAAACAAACAAAACACCAAAACACAAAAAAACACTCACCATTATTTATTTTTCTTTTTATTTTTTATGCTGCATTTGTGTAATTCCTGGTTTGATTAAAACACTATCTGCAACATTTAAAGGAGCTTTGATCACCTCATGAATAGGCTCAGTGCCTAATTGTGATCAAATTCAGTTTCATAAATCTGTGTTGTAGTGTGGTTTTGATGCACTCTTTGTAAGTGAATTGTTGATTTGAATCTGTAAATTGAATGCTAAAATTGAGCCAGTACTGGATGAACACTATGAGGTTGTTATACTGTGTTATATGCTATGAGGTTATTTTTGGTTGTTCACCTTGGCATGTTTGGTTGTCGTTTCCTTCCTACGATGACCGTATTTGTACAGGAGTAGAATAGTGTTGCAGATGAGAACTAGAGTGCAGTAGACTGGTGAGAGACGAGAAATTAATTACTTTGGGATTTTTAGTCATCTTTGGTGTTTTTAATTTTCTTTTCAGACTCATTGTTTTTGTAAAGAATATGATTGAAGTTTTCATTTGTTGTAAGGACATTGTTTGAGTTTCTGTTTTTCTTCCATGATGATAATTTAAAAATAATTTTGAGTACACGAAGATAACGGTTTTATATTTTTTGCATGGTGAAACTTTTTATTATCTTTTACACGTGGCATCCTACCATGGATGTTAATATCGTCGGTAGTTATAAGGAAATTTTTTCCCTTACAACGGTAGGATGAGGTAAATAGCTTGTTACAGTTATAGTAAAGGCCCTTTTCATGACAAGCAATTATGTCGTCTAGGCTAAGGCGACGAAAGTTGACACAGGTTGGGGTGCCGGCATGTGTGGGTTGAGGCAGTGGAGACTAATGAAGTAGTATGTAAACTAAGTCTCATAACTTAGGGTTCTGGTCAGAAAGTAGTATGTAAAATTCGACCTATGGCAACGATTCATCTAGGAATCGAAGCATAAAATGGTTTATATTAGCGATTCCAATAGCAACCGCTGTCATAGACCCTATCCGATTTTAAATAATTATTTAATTTTCAGGATTTATGACAGGAGTTATTGGGAAAAGGTAGAGATCAAAGTGAACACGACTGTAGCGTGTAGGAGACAACACGTCAACGGCTTCTGGGAGATAATAGCGTGTCGAAGACAAAAAAAAAAGAAAAATGAGAGACTATGCATGAGGAATGGAAAACGAAAAAGAGAAGAGAACTGTGTGGACTAGTTTTGAAACAAGTCATAAATTAGAGATTTAAATATACTATGATTAATGTTGAACTAACCGTCATTGTAAAGTCTTACTATGACGTGGTAGAACCTAAAATTTTAAAATAATAAATTTGCAAATCTTTCTATTTACATATTATTTATATTTTTCTTAACGTGAAACTTTGTGATTCACCATACATTTTTTATAAAGTAATAGGGAAAAGAAATAAAAGTGTGCATAGATATTGATAGACTAAAACAGATTTATTATATGAGAAGCTTCCATGCAAACAAATATTAATCATAAATTGAACTTATCGAAAAAATTTATTGGGGAATTCGGAAACAGAAACATCACAAGAGTTCGTAACAACACCCATCAAACCATGAAAGAGCGTCATCTTTGTCTAGTCAAGCACTTTATTCTCTTCTGCCACCGACTGGACTGTTTTACAAGAAGGAATTGAAAGACCAGGAAAGAATGTCGTGTGTTTCAACCAAGTCACCGGTGGTACCAGAGAAACCGATCAGGACCCACTCTGACAAAACAGTCCCTAAATTGATGGGATACGATAAAACAACGGTGTTCGGACTCACAGAACTATCTGAATAAGCCACCGAGACACTCAATATTTTGGCGGAAGATTGATAGCTTATGCGTGCCTTTCCAATTGATCCTTGATGAATATCAAGTGGCCATGGGGCAGTTGCCACGGACCTAATGGAATTAATGTCAATTCCTATGTGAGGAGAATCAGACTGTGGGAAGTTGGGGTCCCATTCATTTGCAAAGCTATCAAACTCAACAGCAACCACTTGGTTTAAAGAGGTGTTGAATGCTGTTTCGGGGTTGAAAAGTCCGAGGAAGCCACCGGTGGAGTTGTCAGGGAAATCAAAGTCGACTGATGCAAGAAAGAAGGTGAAGCCGTCGCCGTGCAGTGACGCACGATGTGTGTTGACAACGAAGGAGAACTCGGTGTCGAAGTCTGCGAGTCTTCCAGTTTTTGCGTCAGAGAGATGAAGTGGTCCAAAGTATGCTGCCAGGCCAACGCTTTCTTGAGTTGGATTGCCGCTTGTGTCCTTGTTGGTGAGTTGTAACACTCCATCTACTGTCTTGGCATCATCACCCACTAGTACGCTTCTAACACCAGGCTCAAAACTGGGTAGGTTGAAAGAAAACGAGTCTGATTTGACTGTGGAGATTAGCGAGAGGCAAAAGACTGAGAGCATAAGGAAAACAGTGAAAGGGTTTTGAGTTGAAGCCATTGTAGTGTTTCTTGTTCTGAATGATTTGTGAGGATGCTCATAACCAGGCATGCATCTACCTACTTATACGCCTCGGTTTTGCAGGGCTTTCAGAAAAATAACTAAAAAAATTCATTATTAATTTGGACTGTGTAGGCAAACTACATAGTTTTGCCGTCGTCAAACCTAGGCGAAAAGAGCGAGGAACGTTGTCCGAGATATCCCTGTCCTTCAATTCGACAGATTTCATGTGTTTCAATCAATAATTAATTAATCAAGGATGTTACAATTTTCATACCAAACATATGTTCATTAAACACTGTTTAAACTATTCAGTATCAGGCACGCAAACCACTTATGGCATGCCTGTATTTCGACTAATAAGAGATCACAGTTGGGTGGGTCTGTCATATATATATATATCGATATATAATAATATATAGATATAGAATATATATATATATGTAGTATAATTGGTTAAAGGATACTGATTAATATTTTAAAATATGTGGTTCAGTGCAGTAGTAAACTAAATTGGGCAGTTCCTACATAGTTCCATATTAAATCATGCAATGTCACATAGATCTTATGGAGTATGCTTTCCATAACTTCAAAAGAAGCTTTCTTTTTTGTTTATTTTTTTTAATTCAACACGAAGAATTCAAGAAGCAGATTCTTCACCGCCTTTAAAACGGCACTGGTGTAAGGTGGCATTGATGGATTTAGCTTCAAGATAGCATCTAAAAGTGTTCTCTCCCATTGAACCGTATAGACGATAAATTATAAGTAATAATTTCGCAAAGACTATTAAATATATCTTAAAGCTTAAATAAACGAACTGTACATCGGTGATCAATCCCCAAAACTCTATTTGCTTTAAAATGTATGAAAATTCTTCGAAAAATTACGAAAACAAGAAAAAGATAAACTTCTCTAAGAAAAATCATTCAGAATTAATCCTATTCGGCTCAACCTTTGAAATCCTTGCTTCAAATATATTTTATTTATCACTTTATATATGAGCACTATGGAAGTGTACTTGAAATCTTGTAACATATAATGGAATATTTGGATATTCTTGAACTTTGCATAGTTTACAGAGATAACAATTTCTTTTTATGTTGGAAGGCTAGTTAAATATGACATAAACTAGGTGTTACCAAATACCATATATATTCTATTTTGTTTTAAAAGAAATGGCCAAAGACAACGGGATCATGCATTTTGCAAACATTACCAAATGCAGGAGCATATTCCTCAAACTCTCTTTGTTATACCCTGATCGTTTTAGAAAGAGAGATATCCAAAGTTTTGCAGACTATCATGTTATATATGGACTTATATAATCAAAATTTTATAGAATTTCCTCGGATTTTCCATTGGCAAACGGCAGTATATGTCACTTGGGTGCCGTATATGGGAACTTGATTCCAACCTACATTCTTAGCTGGCCAAAGAGGCCTATATGTAACTTCATTCCTCACATTATTGCTTCCTGCATCACACAATGGCTTTCCCAAACTCAAAATCTCTAAGTCCTCTTACCATTCTACTTATCAAATTCCTCGTCCCTTTCCTCCTGCTGCAACATCACAGCGCACAAGCATCCCCGCTGTCCGCCTACGAAACCGTTTCCTTCGGCTTCTCTTTTTTCGAGGAAGATGATATAAACATAGGATTATTGGGAAATGCCTCAATATCTGGTGGGGTTCTAAGGTTAACCAACACCGACCAACTTGGAAAGCCAGTTCCTCACAGTGTTGGTCGAGCAGTGCATATCACACCAATACACCTCTGGGACAAAAACAATGGAAACCTGGCGGACTTCAGCTCTGGTTTCTCCTTTGTCGTGAACCCTAATGGCTCAACCCTTCATGCTGATGGTTTTGCCTTCTTTCTTGCACCGGCCGACCTTCACTTACCTAGAAACTCAAGCGGAGGGTATCTTGGACTTTTCAGCCCAGAAACTGCATTGGATACTTCCAAAAACCAAATAGTGGCGATTGAGTTTGATAGTTATACCAATGACTGGGATCCCAACTCACCTTCTCAGTCTCCTCACATTGGAATTGATGTTGACTCCATTAAGTCAGTGGCAACTGTAGCATGGCCAAGTGAACTTGAACCGGATAATGCTGTGGCACATGCGAGCATAAACTATAACTCTGAGTCCAAGCATTTGAGTGTGTTTGTGGCTTACCCTGGGGACAATAGGAATGCCACTGTCTCTACTACTGTTGATTTGAGAACTGTTTTGCCTGAATGGATCAGAGTTGGTTTCTCTGCCGCCACCGGTGATTTGGTTGAAACACATGACGTTCTTAACTGGGTTTTCGAAGCAGCCTTGTAGATCCAGTCACTGTCAGTTCAAGCAGATTGACCATT